AAATTATAAAAAAAATTTCCTTTTGAAATTTTTGAAAAATTTCAGAAAAGTATTCCCGCAATTTTTTGAAAATTTGGAAAAAATATTTCGATTACTATTTTTTTTGTCCCGGGTATTTAATAAATTCATCATGACAACTGGTGAAAAATCTTTTCACCTGAACGGATACACATGGTGTTGACACATTTGGTTCATTGGAAAATTATATAGAGTGGTGTAACAAAAAAAAATTCAAGGCGAAACGAATATTAAGGTCAGTGAAATATTGCTGATTAAGATTCCATTAATCCAATTGAGTATAACACAATGGAATAAGACAGCCTTTATCAAAGACAGATATCAAAGACGAAGGCCTGTCCTAAGGCATTCCCATATGTATACATAAGAGTTATGAAATATTGTTCTCCCCCCCACACCTGACAATTACATAATAATATTACCAAGTACCCACCCAATCCAATTTTTATTCATTCCTCAAAACTCCTTTTTCATTTGTATCTTCATAATTTTTTTAACAACTTCCATTAAACATTTTGAAAAAGAAAAAATTTCTGTTGTAAATATAAAATTACAATAAATTGAAGAGTTGGAGGGAAAGTTCATTTACATTGCAATGAATGTGATAGTGTAAATAATTAAATAAATAAATTAAAAATACAAATATTATAATAATGATTGAAAATAGGTGTTAATATGAAAAATAAAAAAAATAAAAGTATTAAGTAATGTAGAACGTATGATAGGGGAGAATATATGTCTCGTATGAATCTGTAAACTGCTAGAACAAAATTGGATCTAAACCGAATTCTCAAATTCGATTTGTAGGCATTTGCCAGAAGAGCATTTTCAATGCACAGAAAACGTTTAAAAACGATGTTTCTAGCCAGTTAACTCCGCATATTGCCAAGAGCCATCGGCTGTTTCCGCAGTTGATTATTCCCCTCATCCGTGTTTTCATAAACATTATTTATTGAATAAAATACCAGTGAGAAATGGTAAGATTACAAAAGGATTATAAATGGAATTTGGATAAGTGAAAAAATGAGACAGTGGATTGAGATTTTCACGGAGGGATCACTCACTCCCTGATTCCGTGACTTCTCGAAAAAAAATCTGTGGCGGGAATTTATTCGAAATAATTAAAGAAATTCGAAATTAATTATTCCAGGGGCAATAAAGTGACTGGATTAACAGTAAATAAAATTCGAAATCGAGAGGACGGAATGGAGCGAGACGGTTTGATTTTTCGAAATTTCGGATTTTCAAAAAAGAAAAAAAATATATTTATCAAGTTTATGATTGAAGAACAACGAATAAAATATTTTGCAAATAAGATAAGGTGCGAAGCATTTTTTGAAGGTGGGGTTTCCATTAATTTCGATTCGTTTCATTGGTTGCAAATAATTTGAATGTGATGTCATGACTCCGGGAGCGAGTAACCCGATTTCACGTATTATATATTTGCGAATTTTTCAGGATGAATTGACAAAGGATCAGATAGCACGTGAGTTACTCATTTTTTAATAAGGGTAATAATGATAATAATAAGGGACAATTTTTAGTACTCAAAAAGGCATTTGATGCCTTTGACCAAGCTAAGAAAGGGTGCATTGGTACCGATATGGTGGGAACTATTTTGGCTATGCTTGGATATGAATTGAGTGAAGAAACTTTAGCCGAGATAATCGCCGAGGTCGACGAAGATGGTATGGAGGATCAATTTTTCTTTCCGTGAAACGAGCACAAAGATTACTCCTCAAAATATTCCAAAAAAATATTGCAGATAAAGGGATTATCCTCCACTGATATTTTTTTGACAGTGGAATTTTTCGATTTCAGTGAATACCTCCTCGGTTTCATGCTCCCCTGATACTTTTTCAAAAAATTTGGATTTTTCAATTCCACTGAAAACCTTCTCGATTTTCATGTTCCCCTGATACTTTTTCAAAAATTTTGTATTTTCAAATTTCAGTGAATACCTCCTCCATTTTCATGCTCTCCTGATACTTTTTCAAAAATTTGGAATTTTCAAATTTCAGTGAATACCTCCTCCATTTTCATGCTCTCCTGATACTTTTTCAAAAATTTTGTATTTTCAAATTTCAGTGAATACCTCCTCCATTTTCATGCTCTCCTGATACTTTTTCAAAAAATTTGGATTTTTCAATTCCACTGAAAACCACCTCCATTTTCATGCTCCCCTGATACTTTTTCAAAAATTTCGAATTTTCAAATCTCAGGGAATACCTCCTCCATGCTCATGCTCTCCTGATACTTTTTCAAAAATTTTGAATTTTCAAATTTCAGTGAATACCTCCTCCATTCTCATGCTCCCCTGATACTTTTTCAAAAATTTGGAATTTTCAAATTTCAGTGAATACCTCCTCCATTTTCATGCTCTCCTGATACTTCTTCAAAAATTTGGAATTTTCAAATTTCAGTGAATACCTCCTCCAGTTTCATGCTTCCCTGATACTTTTTCAAAAATTTTGAATTTTCAAATGTCAGTGAATACCTCCTCCATTCTCATGCTTCCCTGATAATTTTTCAAAAATTTCGAATCTTTTCATTTCAGTGAATACCTCCTCCATTCTCATGCTCCCCTGATATTTTTCAAAAATTTCGAATTTTCCAATTTCAGTGAATACCTCCTCAATTTTAAATTGTCTACTGCGCAGGAATATTTCGAAGCAATAATTTTTCCATCTCCAATATTTTGCGTTGTGTTATTTTGATTATTTGTCATCCAATACAAAAATCATCAATCCCATAAAAAATGAAGGAATACCATTTAATAACGACAATATTCTGCATAGGCTCTGGTGAACTTGAATTCGAAGAATTCTGCACCCTGGCTGCCAGATTTTTGGTGGAAGAAGATACCGAAGCAATGCAGCAAGAATTGCGAGAGGCTTTCCGCCTTTACGACAAAGAAGGCAACGGTTACATAACGACTGACGTATTTCGCGATATATTACACGAACTTGACGATAAATTAACAAATGAAGAGTTGGACCTCATGATCGAAGAGATCGACGCGGACGGCTCTGGGACTCTCGATTTCGATGGTAATTTCCCCAAAAACATAATACCCACATTCTGAACTGCACTGAATCATTTTTTCCCCAAAACTTTCTAATAAATTATGTCATTTCAGAATTCATGGAAGTTATGACAGGAGGCGATGACTGAATACCGGAATTATTCTCACAATGCGGAAGTCAGAAAATCCGTAAAAAATGGTGAAAAATATCAGCAAGTGTAAGTGAAGTGTACCTTCGGTCAATCATATGAACAAATAAATTTTAAATTAAAAACTTTTCCATTATTTTCCAAATTATTTCATGTTATTGTTCATCATTTATTTTTATTGTTATTGCTCAGTTATTATTATATGTGTAGCATGATTGGATACAGCAGCAAAAAGACAATGCACTGGTTATTATCCTAATGAATAAAAAATTCCACCGTTTTATTCTTACGTTTTTATTATTTTCTAATTACGAGGAAACACTTGTCACGTTTGACGACGACAACTTGCGTGGGTATTCACGGTATCCTATACATACGAGGAAGTGAAAGTCAGGTGTCGCCTTTTTTTTTACTCCCCTCTTTCTTTCTTCCCAGTCAAATTAGCGACACGATTGCATCGGAATGGAAATTATCATTACTCTAACTTCATTCATGTACTTTCTTCCGGTTCACTTCTTAAATATTGGAATTTATCATTCCCAGGACTATTTCCTATTTTTTTTTTCAACTCGTTAAATTCTCCGCTGCAATAATTTGCAATTGTGTGTGTGTGTGTGGAAAAATGGTGATTACTCGACATACGCCTTTCGGCAAATTGGGTGAGAGCGTATTATTAAATTTTTCATCTAACTGAATAAAAAATCAAGAATATATAAAATAAAATATGAAATCCGAAGTTCAAGAATTAATACAAAATAAATATACATATGTACTACATACACAGATATCATTTTTAAATTTTATATATTTATTTGACTTTCAATTTTTATGTAGAGAGAATTTTATATATATATGTATATATATATATATATATATATATTAATAATAATTCAATTAATGAAATTGATTTCCTTTAATGTTAGTAATGTTTTCCTTTAGTTTAAAACCGAGTTTAAAAAATAAACAACTAAATAGCATAAACTTTTATTGGTACTAGTGTTTCTCTGTTATGAAGCTGTCGATATGGCAACTAATGACAGTTGAGAAAAAGCATGACGTATCCAGTGAAACTAGACTATCTAAAATAAGTGATTTCATTGCATAAATCACTCTTACGGCTCCCATTATATGGTGTCTTTCCACTAAAAAGTGACTATTATATAATTAAAAAACCACTTTTTATTTACGAGTTTAATCAACGAAATAGCCTGAAAATTCATAAATTTATTGAATGCTCAGACGATGAATAAACATAGATGAATATTAATACAATGGTCCCCGGCGGGAAAATCCACGGGCATTACTTCCAGTTACCAATGATTGGGCCCCAATTTCTCGAACTCTGGCTTAATTACATATATCTTACATTCGTGGATACTTTCTCCATCAATTAACCACCTGAGCTTCGCTAAGTGACATACCAGTATGTAATTTCATTGATGAAGTAAATTGTAACTAGATTCATTGATTGACTTGCATTAATGACTAATTAAATATGTATCGGTGTATATACATGTCGTAACGAGAGCAACCACTTCAATTTTTCATTGCAAATGTTGATCATTATGACAGAAAATGGTGATGAAAAAGGAGCTGCATTAGCTAATCTGATTTGTCAACCAATGAGCGTTCGAATTATGCGAAAATTTTTATACAATTAAGATTGAGTACAAAATGAAAGCAATTTTTCAGAATGAGACTGTGTACCAACAATGAATTATCAATTGACGTTAATTCATTAAATATTTATTATTCATTCATCGTCAGTGAAAATTGTTGTAGAATTCTCTATTTGAGAATCCGGAGGAAATGTTTTGTGGTGCTGTTTTATGTATTAATTAAAGAAAGATAAATTTCGTAAAGGTAAAAAACAATGTTACTAACCACAAAGAGAAAAGGAGACTAAGAGGGACAAACGAATTTCAACGGTTGATTGAATAATTTCAACACGCGCTCACGACTCTATTGCATTTTGGTTTATAACATTCTATTGAAGAAATTCACCTCGGTAGATCGACAGCTTCATATTAAATTTCTTGTAAGTTCTTATGGTTACTGTTACTTTTAAAAAAAGTGATTGAAATTAATCCGACAATTTTGCATTGTCACCCAAGTGTATTGGCAACCCTTCACTGAGCTTTCTTTCCTTGGAGTTGAATATTTCAGTTGGAGGCGGTACGAAAATAAATAAGTGGGATATTGCTCATGATTCCATTATATAATCATTGTTTATAATAAATTAACAATGTGCATCCGAATGATTATGTTTTTTTTTTTCCATAACAAAAATGGAATTCTGGAGTTAAAACGAGACAATCATCAGAATATGAATTTTTGGAGATATTTTCCATATTTAGTTAAATTTGTAAATTAATCTAACTTTTGTCAACCTTGCCGCAATGTTGCCCCAACGTTCACCTAACCTTGGGTCAACGTTGGGCTAACATTGGAGCCGGCATTAACGCTGCAGCAAATTTTCAGAGAACCAATAACGGAATGGATCGAATGAAATTGGATAATTATTTTTTGAGTAATCGTCAAAAAAATTTTGGTAAAAAAACCCACGGAAATTTTGAAAAAAATCTAATTATCCAATTTTCTTGAAAAAAAAAATATAAATAAATTAATTAAACCGAAAAAATTGGAGAATTCAAATCGATGGATTACAAATAAATCATTACAAATTTTACAAAAAAAATTTTTTTTTTTACAAAATTACAAAAAAATAATAAAATGGATAATAAATCAATTAAATCATTTCCACAGCAAATGAGCAGTCATAATTAATCAATACAAAAATGATAATCCGATATCTTTTTTGGTCATTGGTATTTTTAAGAAGGGGAAATTAACTTTACCTTTACAGAAGATTAGAGTGTGTGATGTGTTTGTTAAGAAGATAATATATGGACGAAGGGAGAAGGGAGAAACAGTACATACCGCGCAAACGATTACGCACCATAAAACATCTGTGGGAACGTGTAACGCTTGGAATTTCAATCGATTGCCACTCTGGCGTGCCACTTGAATTATATACATTTTTTTTCCAACTTATTCTTTCCCTACCTCCAATGCCACTTTGAGAATATTGAGAAATTATGTATAAATTATTCAATTTGTACAAAACTGAAATAATAATTCCACTCAAATATTTTTATACCTCAAAAAATCAAATGAAGATTAACTACACAAAAAATAATTTCTACCGATTATCAATTCCTGAATACAATGACTTGATTACAATTGATTTTCAAAAAATATCAATGGGTATTTGTTGAAAATTTTCACTTTTCGGAAATGAGGAAAATTGTGAAAATTCATGTTTCAAGTGATGATTAGGTTGAGATGACAATGAAATTTATAAAAATAGGAAAAATTGACAGCGTCAAAGACAACTCCATAATTGTCGAGCCATGACGTAATACTTACTCCAGTTTCAGATCTTAGAAAGGAAAACGTCCAATTGATTGATATTCAGGTGGGACCAGTGACTACCATAAAGACCCTATCTAAAACTGAAAAAAAAAAAAATCTCCACTCAAATGATTTCAAATGAAAATAATTACATACAGTAAATATGAGACATCAAGTCACAATATACTATCAGTGCTCCACATTCATTCAATTAAAATCCTATTTTACTTCCATGGTAATGACTCAGTCATTTGAAATTCAATGAAATAGAATTGAACACTCGCCATAAGACCGTTAAAAATTAATTATCCGACCTCGTGTTGTTGCGCATTTTGTCAATTATCGTTATTAAATCATTCGACTGAAACAACAAATGCAGAAGTCAATTCAAGTACGTATTAGGGATGTAATGGGCATTGCTGGTCGGTCAGTTGTCAAGTAACAAATCTTGAAAAAATAATAAATTTACCGGTTTGACGTGTATGCTGGTCGTCATTACAATTTTGCATATTCATTATCATCATTATCATCATCATCATCATCATCATCATCATCCAAATCAACCTCATATAGTATCGGAAGTATATAAAACATAAATGGTTTTATGGAAGAAAGCCGTCGATATACTGACAACGAGTGAAAGGAGTACATAGTAATGAATATTCCACTGAATCGTCTCAATACTAGTTTAAAAATTTTTTAAACAGTTAATGATGAAACATTACGATTAACTGTTAAATTATTAATAAATATCCGAGTATTTCTGGTTGATCAATTGATTGCAGGATAAGTGCACGTTTCCTGAAGCGTTGGAAGGAAAAAATTATCAATTAATTAAATATTAGGAGACAAGTTAAAACTGATCGTTGAATATGCCATTCAGACCGATCCCTCCGGGTATTCCATGTTTGAACGAACATATTCTGATTGCCATCCACGAGAACAGCGGTATCAATAAATTGTTTATGTTTATGTTTTATTTTTTTACAATTCGCGTGTCAGATCGTGGACAGGTAGAATCAATAATTTAAATAGACATTATTGTGTCAATTAAATTGAATCACTACCAATAATAATCCATAATAAATAAATATTCAATTCCAATCGAATAATAAATATAAAAGAAATAAAAATAGTTCAGTAATGAAGGATATTAACATGTGGAATAACAATTACTGAATGATTTGTTTATTGATAAAATTAAAGTCTAATAAATTGATGAAGATTGAAAATGGAGTTGAAGAAATAGAAGGGATCTATGAGATTGGAATTTTCAAATTATTATCAGTCGAATCCATGACGATTATGTATCGAAGAAAAGAGTTAGTAATAAATAATGAAAAAAAATAATGAAAAGGAAGGAGATTGAAGCATTCATAAAAATGGTCAAGATATTGAGGAGAATAATATTTGTTGGTGATTTGTGTGTCGGCGTGTGATTTACCATGAGAAATTTTCCACTCCATTCGCTTTCAAAAGTTTCAAAATTATCTCACCGATCGCTCTGACTTATCCGGATATAGGAATATCCGGAGACGCTGAGATTTGTTAATTAGCAATCATATTCGTATCTCATCATTAGGGAAAGTAGGTGAAATTCATGCATGGCCTGTCAGAGGAGCTAGTTTATATCGAGAGAGTCGGCCACCATTACAGCGAGTTTCAAGAAATTCCCAATTCAGAATATATATTCATTGAAATATCCGAATCATGCCAGCACACGTAATCGACACATTAAACGGTACATACGCTAAATATATATTAACTACACCCATATATATACCAATAAAAAATATGTCAGATATACGGTAAATACATGCATATATTGCATATATTCCATATATATGCACATAAAATTCCCATGTATCG